TTTGCTTCGTATTTGTTGAGAGTAATTTTTGGTTCCAAAACAATTTTGTTTTCAACCTTAAAATCTTTTGATTTAGCAATTGGTTTTGAAATCTGTGACTTTTGTGAACAACTTTGATTGGAAGAACAACTTGACTTTTGTTTCGGAATTTTAGATAAATCTTTATTTTGATTAGAAAATCTTGACGTACTGACAAAACTTTGATTGGAATTCAATTTATTCCAAAAACGCTTTCGTTCACTTAAATTCTTTCTATATCTTGTATTCAACTGCCTTTTCTTTGCGATTAATTCGTCAGCAGATTTGTGAATGTTAGCTTTCGGTTTTTCCTTTCTAATTGGCGTTTCATTCTTATTGTAACAAAAGTCCACACGATTCAATGGTTTTGAAACATATTTCCCTTTTGTTTTCCAAGAGGTCATTTCTGAAAGACCTTTTGTTTCATCTGCGTTGTCTATAGGCTTTGACCAGAAGAATTCATCACACCCTTTCGCATTATCATCAGCAACCAAGGACGTTAATTCAGAAGTATCGTTTTTGTTCTGTCCTTTCTTAACAAAAACTTGATTTAGAACTATTTGAACTTTAGGAAAAACGGTTGCTTATACTTTCAAAACATTTGAGCCTCTATTTTCAATAATTCGAACAAAATCGATTGAGTTTTCAGAAATTAAGTTTTTCTTTGGTTTATCAAAATTTTGTACAAAAGCAGAACAATCAATTTCATCCTCTACTGATATTTCACTCATTTCACTTTCATCGAATTCAAAAATATTCTCAGAATCAAGAGTATTTTCCGAATTCTAGTTCTTGCATAATAAGTCATATCTCTGCATAGCACTTAATTTGATTTCTTGTTTATCTTTTTCAGTTAAAACTTCTTTCAACATGTTTTTATGCTCTTTGAACTGGATATATTCTTCTATTTTCTCAAGTCCAACCCTGTAAGAATCTGAAACATCATCTGAAGAAACAATTGGTTCACATTTATAGCATTCAACATCAATTTCATCTTCTTTTAATTCAAGAAAAGGTAAAATCATTTTATGCAAACCTTTACCAATTTCACAATCAAAATGAAGTTGAGTAATATTAAAATATAAACGTTTAGAAATCAAACAAAAAATGTTTCTCTGTTTCAAAAGTGCTCTATTGTCTCTCTTAAGGAAAATAATATCATCTCGTGATCTAGTAAGCTCAACTTTCAATGCTTCTATTTTTATTCTTCTCTCTTCATTCTTAAAAGTTACCCTGTTAAGTTTATCATTCAGATTAGAATTACTTATACGAGTTATTTTTAAGCTATCACTAAAATCAGAAATCGTATAACCTAAATCATCCAATTCAGAATCATAACATGATGAAGGAATATTAAGAGATTTAAGAATTGAATGTACCTTATTGACCACCTTCTCGTACTCACTCGCCTACTCTGTAACTGTCTTTGCAGCAAAACAACTCTCTGATGCTTTTCCACCATCAGTTGCATATCCCCTTGGTTCGGATTGCCACTCTGAACCATCAAACACTTGCCTGCATAGTCTTGCTTCTCATACTTTACCACAAAACACCCTCCATGGGTAGGTTTCCTTACCTCATCGTCCTCAGAGTCTGTGAACCACACCACGACTCTACTGTCATCACTTTCCTCTTGCACTATCAACATAGGTTTCGCATTTGATGCACTTTTCATTCGGAGCTCGTCTATTTTATAAATGTAGTAGGCCTCGTCTTTTTTCCTTCTCCTTCTTCTCATTCTGCTTACGTAACAATCATTCCTTTGCGAAGTGATTCTTGCCAGAAAAATAATTACATTCATAACCAGAATCACCTAGCAACTTCTTTTCTTTCTTTTCCTCATCATTCTGAAAGTTCTTAAAACCGTCCTCTCTTGGATTTTCGGAACTTGAGCTTCCCTGCTTGTATTTGTTTCTGAAACGAGAGAAATTCTGCTTAAAGAATTTCTTTGGGTTTGACACCATCAACACTTTGTCTTCTTTTGAGAGTTCATCATCCGAAAAATCAGTTTCAGAATCATCAATAGTTGACTTCTTACCTTTACCAACCAATGCCAAAGATCTAACATTAGAGACGAGCTTCGCTTCCTTAGTAACCTCATCTTCGTGAGATTTCAAAATACCCAAGAGTTTTGCCAACGAATAGCTTTTACATTGTTCGTGTGCTTTAATAGTGGAAACTATAGCCTTCCATTCGGATCTGAGACCATTCATGAACGTGACCTTCTGTTCAATAACTCGTTGCTCAAGATTGCTTTTAAGCATTCTTCTTAACAAATGATTGAAGCGATTGGCTGTCTTGTCTAAATTTTCATATGGTTTTTGCACAAAATATCCAAATTCCGACAGAAGTGTCATCTGCACAGAATGTTGCAAGTCGTCATCACCCAAATACAATTCCTTCATTCTATCCTAGATTCCTTTTGTAGTATCACTTGCACTAACAAGACGGAATGTGTCAGGAGGAAGAGCAAATCGAATAATTCTCATTGCTTTTAGATTGCACATCTTCTTGATCTTCTCATCATTTTCAGGATTGTCTGCAATGATTTCATCATAATCCTTCTAGGTTTTGACTTATTTCTTCGTTACTGAATACTTATATGTTTCAGCTGTCATTGCACGCCATATTGTAGAACCAATTGTTAGAACAATAAAGATCGATAGATTCTATATTTGCAAGATGAATTAAAGGCAAGAAATGACAATGATCAAAAAGGTGCCGAATGATTATTAATAATAGCAATAGAATAGTTCTTGAGGTGGAACTACTCTGTACTTGCTTCAAAAGTTGTAACCCTAAAAGTTACATCGGTTCCGAACATGGACATGCCCATTTCGGAATCTAATAACATACATTTGACACAACATATTATTATAACTAACATATACCCACGAAGTTCTGGGAGTATAATCTATCCAATTTGATCAAATATTGGTCCTAAGTATACTCGATGCAAAAAAATTATTTTTAGCGCAAAATAATATTACTTTTATTTATTTATTTTTTGATCTTTAGCGATAGACAGCTTGTTGGGCAAGTTGAGACATTCTGAATGTAATTATGAGTATTATATATATAGTACACTTTATAAACACAAAATTACATACAATAGGTCTTAAAACATGAGGGTTCACGGTAGTTTGACTGCCGAACTCTAACATAGTTTACCAATTGTTACATATACCAAAAATGCATTTTACTCAAACTTAATTGAAAAAATTCATATAATGTAGTTTTTACGAATAGTGTTGTGTGGTATTTCACTATAGTATAGAATGCAAAATCAAAATGCTCCGAAAATACTCATTTCTTACAAAATATAAAACCACACCATTACTTATTTGTTTAGTTTCGGTGTTTTGAGTTCAACTTTCTAGTTTTTTTTCGGATTGTTCAGTTTGCGGTTTATTTTTGTTCACCTGATCTATCTCGTATGTCACATAACATTTTGTCCACAAGAGCATTTTTAGTACATGATTAGTATTGAACCCTTAGCTCTTTATAAACTATCATTTTGATCGTGTATTACATGGATAACGTTAATTACTTAGGAGTGTAATGTATTATGCTACATATACATATTTAATCGCTAATTTATTTTTGTATGTGAATTATTATTACACTCTTTTCAACTGATCAACAACTACTATTATGATGGTGTATTGTAGGTTCATACCGATTTGACATATGTGTAGTTGCGATGGATCTAATACTTAATTATGAACTTATATTCAATGTGTAATCTATCTAACTTAAATACGAATAAGGTCCAACAATATCATCTTATTCTATGATTTTCAACTCAAGTACAAAAGATTTCAACTCAAGTGTGAAAGAGAAAATAGATATTTCATGCAACTTTGGCATGCCCTTCTCGAATTAGAACATCTTGGATGATGGATAACTTTGGAAAAAGGTTTAGCATATGCCTTAATTTTATGGTATATGCCTTTTACATTTGATTATGACCTATCCTCTTTCCTCTGTAACTTATTGCTTTTGTTTTTGAAGAACCCAAAGAAAAAAAAACTTTTTTTGAATGAGTTGATCTAGGATCTATAAATGGGTTATATCTGATTTTTAGTACCACTTACCTATAAATAGAAAACCACATACTTACAAATGAATAACCTACAAATGAATGGTACCTCGTTACATTTACCTATAAATATAAAACCACAAGTATATACTTACAAATGAATAACCTACAAATGAATGGTACCTCATTTACATAAGAGATGCATGTTAGGTTGTTTACACATTTTAAATATTCGTTCACAATTATATATTAGATCTATATGAGACACAAAAATACCAAATCATCAATTAGTTACAATAGGCGTGTTTGACATAGAGCTTTTGGAAGCGTTTGGGAGCTTCTGACTTTTAGCTTTTGACAAAACGCTATAGTTTAAACAAAAAGTTTCGTTTGGCAGTACGAGTGTTTAGCATTTAGTTTAAACAAAACGCTCAAATATAAAAGCTACTTCATGTAGCGTTTAACAAAACGCTACTGAGCTTTTCAAACCAATTTCCATAATTGCCATTAAAAATATCTTTATATATTTATTTATTTTAAACAATTTCCTTTTATGTAATTTTACCTATTTCAAAAGCTTTTAGCTACTTTTTCCGAACACTCATATAACAAATAAAAGTTACAGCTTCCAGCTACCCGATACACGCTACACGCTACAAGCTACAAGCTACTAGCTATCCGCTACTCGCTTCTAGCTAACAACTACTTTTTTTCCAAAGACACCCAATATATATCCAATCATACTAATATATTTTAGCAGCTTGAAATTTTTTAATTATAAATCATATAGAACACATTTTAATACAAATATAATACATTACTATGTTATTAACGTTTATTTAAATGTATTAAATCTTGTGATAGTTATTTTTTTTTTTTTTTGCCATATTTAATGAATAATATGTTTTATTAAATTATTTTTAAATACAATAAAAACGAATACCATTTATAATCTGAAAGATATTTGATTTCTCTTATGGGCTACTGTTCTTCACTTTGCCACATAAAGCTGACTTTCCATTGTGCCTTCTTTTTTGTGCCAAACGAACAGCATCTGATCACGTGAACGACACATATGACCTCACTTGTCAGATCCTGCCGGAGCCACCGTTACCGTTGAAATCTCATGCATCAACGTTTCCACGATCTCAGTCTCTATCTCCTCCACTATATCCTCCGCCTCCGCCTCAAACGCCGTCGACCACAGCCGCCGCATGCTCCCTCCTATATCCCTCTCAATCAACCCATCTATATCTTCCAACACCTCACAATCGGCTGCCGGAATACTCTCAATCGTCTCACATAACTTCTTGATCAAATCCGACCCACGCATTCCACATGAATCCAATGGTTTTGGACAAACCCATGGTTTCAGATTCATGTAAGGCTTCAAGATTTCCGCCAGCAGTTCATCTACTAATTCGAACATCAACCTTCGTCCGGCGGTGGTGGTGGGGTGGTAGTGTTTTTCTAGCTGATGAAATATTGAGGGATGAAGTGGGTGAGAAGGGGAGTACCATTGACCGATTGAGACGAGGGTGGTGCTGTGGATTCCACAAAGGTTGAGGATTCTTGAAATGTAGTCGAAGTGATCGGAAAAAGAACTGCCGTTGGGATCGGAGGACGACGTGGTGGTGGCAGCGTTGGAATCTTGATCGGAAAGCTTGAACATGCGTATGTCATTCTGATTGTACGAGGAGTTCAGTCTACTAGGTAACTGCGTCATGCTGACCAAGGACACCTGCAAAATCAAATATTCCATAAACCCCATTTCAAGATAATTTGAAGATTAATTTCCTAATATAATTACGTACAAGAAGGAAAAAAATAACAAGTTGATTTGGTATACAACTTAATAATATATTTGCTCTAAAATATATATAATAGTACAATTTAATAAAATAAGATTTTCTAATATGTACCTTAATGTCACAAATAAGAACCGAGATATATTATCATAGTTAAATGTTAAATTTATTAATTATAAAAATATATTTTTTAAATTAATGAATTTTACGTTTAATTATAATAATATTCTCTATAATTCATACTTCAATTAATTTTTTTTGTGTTAGGACACATGCTAGAAAATCCTTAATAGGATAAAATATTGGCTAATACAAATTAATTCCACAATCCTCATGTTTAAAGACCGTTAGTTTTAGATCAAGTTTAGAGACCATTTATTATATTTATATTCGGGATGCCCGCCAAAAATACAAGATAAATGATTTTTCGGTACCTAGCACAAAATGTTAATTTTTTTTTTTTTTTCCAAATAGGCTTATTTTGAATTGCGAAATTGTTTCCTGAATGATCTCTACTAAAAGGAAAAAGATTTAAGAAATAAAGCAGATTAGAAAATTATATATTATTAAACACTTTAATATACATATTCATATGTTACCAAATATATTCATGAATCTGAGACTATCATAAAAGTAATTTTGTAGTTCCAAATTTGATAAGTTTTGAATTAATGTAAAGGTTTGTGTAAGTACCAAAAATGTATATATATTTTGTTAAATGACTTTAGTCTTTGGTCATTTCACTCATTTGTGAGTATCCATTTATTTAAAATTTTAATATAATAAAGATTATTATACTTGAAGATGCAGTAGATTCTCATAGACAAAAATGATGTCATGTATGCAGTAATTAAGAATACAAAGATAACAACAACAAATGACATCAGAGTTAATTGTACGACTAAAATGTACCTGTTTTTGAGGTAGTCTTGTTGAGGAAGAAGACGTAATCTCTTTCTTGAAAGAAAGAAACTTTGTTGTGTTCTTGACATTTACGACATGATTTGGTAATGGAGTTGACTTCTTACAGATCTTGCTCACAAATGCGTCATCTTGTTGACGCACATTCTTCAAGCGCAATTCGTATCTTTCACTTGCGATTCTCTGAATTTTTTGATCTTTCACTGGTTTCTCCAGCTTCGTTAATGGCTTTTGATGGCGTACTGGTCGTGTTTCTGGCTTCGATCCTACCTCTTTGAATGGTGATGACTGTGAATTTGAATTGGGTTTACTAAGATTGCTCTTAATGTCTAACAATCTGAGCTTTGGTGAGCTCGAAAATGGCGTCGTATTCGTACCATCTTGTTTTTGTTTTGATGCCGGCGCCGGCGCCGGAGCTTGCGTCATCAATGGTGATGGAGATGGTTTCTTAGGTTTGAGCAAAACCAGATTAGAATCTCTTCTCTGATCTTTATTTCTCGTCGTCGATGACTGTGATGACACGGTGTTTGTGATGTCTGTACCAAGTCGCCGGCTGATTCTTTCCCTCACTTGGTTCGCAATCTGCTTTGCGTACAGACTTGTGTTCTCATCGTCTGATCGGTGCAACAGAAGTTCCGATCTCCGGCGAGCCATTTTCATCTGCAAGGACTCGTGTTCTTGACGCTTATAACTGTTACAGTTCTCTTTGTCTATTTGGAGAGAAAGCCGATGGTGGTAATCGTTATCTGTTGATCCTCTGCTTGCCGTTGATATTCTGGGAGTCGCCGGTAAAGAACGACTGTGTTTATGGGAGGTCACCGGAGTGGAGGATGATGATGAAGGTCTGGGGGATGAATATTCCGGAAGAAGATCAAGACCCATTAATCTAGCAACCAGATTAGGTGTTTTAGTACTTGGAGAGCTGCTATATTCGGAAGATAAATCTTGATCTGATAATCTTGATCGTTTTGTTTTGATTTGAATGCCACCCATCTGTATTACCAAAATTAAATCACAATAAATACGATGATCATTGATCAAAATTTCAAATTACTAACATCAAACTTACTGGGATGTTCAGGTTTGATTTTTCTTTGGCTGATGATGATGATGATGGACCAACGTCCATGGCAGATTCCGGCGACTCCAAGCTGTTCCTCGGTGCTTCTACGCCTGCAACATCATAATCACAGCAAAATGAATACTGAAAACCCAAAACAAAAAAACATAAAGAACTTACAACACTTTTTAGCTAGATTCAGAGATAGATACCTTGAAGACCAATGTTAAATTGTTGTGAGTTATTAATGGCGGATTCGGAGATGAAAGAAGGGTAGCGTAAGCCAAACTGATGATGTTGAACATCGAAGAAACTAAAAATGGCACTCATGCATCCAGAAGATGAATTGTTTCTCTCTTTTTTTGTTTTTCTGTTCACAGGTTTGCTAGTGGTGGACGGCGGTTTCCCTTTACCACGTCTACCGGAGCTGGCATCTCCGCCACCGGCAGCTTTGTACAACCACTCTCTTCCCATACTCAAACTTCGATCCCTAACTAATGATCAAGATTTATACAAACACCATGAAAAATATTTCAAAAACTTTAATCAAGTTCTACCTTTTTCTTCTCGAACTCTCACAAGATAGAATTCAGTTAAGAAAGTTGTTTCTGTATATGTCACAGAAAAACACACATCGGGAGTTGTAAAGGGAATGAATAAAGGAAAGCTGATGAAAGGGTATGGCCTTTTTGCAGCTTTAATCTCTCTCTTGTTGTAATAGAGAGAGAGAATGAGATGAAAATGGTGGATGATGGTTGTTGCTTTGCTTCCTTCTATGGAGTGTAAGTGTGTGTTTTTGAAGGTGGAAGGCGGAGGTGGTGGTGATGGAGATGCTGGTGGATTGAATTTAAATGAGTTAGTTTACTGGGGATCCGAACCCAAATACCCGTTTTAGTTTTGAATCGGAATACTGACGTATTTAATGCTGGGGTATTATTCGGTATTCCAAGTTTTGACTCTCTTGGTCCATTTCAAAACCTTATAGTTTTTTGGGATTGTATTAGTAGACTAATTAGACAAAAGAAAAAGAAAATTATTTATTTAATGGTAAGATTTAAACTTATTATACTAGTATTATAACTATTTAAAATTATATTTTTATATTTTATGTCTCACATTTTATAATAGAACATAAAATATAGACAATTTAATATCAATATTAAGCCATTGGATATGGTTGGGGAAGAATGTGGGGAATCGTATATTGATTGTGGTGAATGTTGCTCCCTTCTATGGTGTTCCACATAGAGATAGAATTAGGACGGGGTTGAACATCCATGTTGTCATCCCCAAGTGTCCAACCTCGTCTTCATTCTTATCCTCATCCTTAGGAGTGTAAACGAGCCGAACTGAGTTTGAGTTTGGATAAGCTCGGTTCGGGCTCGTTTAAGTTATGAGGGTCTTCCGCTCGATTTTGGCTCGATTCGATCTTTATTTGTAACGTTCCAAAAACCATAGTAAAAAAATTCATTTTAAAGGAAATGAAAGTCGTTTTCCATAAAAGCATAACAAAATCATTGTTTCACCACATGACATAAAATCAGAGTATCAAAGTCATAACATCTCTCAAAACAAAATGATCAATGGATGATGTGCACAATCACACCTTCACCTTACCCCAACCCCAGAAGTACATGAAATATTTAAATCCATAATTGTAAGCCAAAACTTAGTGATTTTCTCAAAATATCTCATACAACAATACACATACAATGCATGTACACATGGCTTACAGCATAAGGCTGGACCGCCATTCGGACCCTACAACATCCGATTCGGGCCGCTCCCCTTGGGCCTACACCATAAACTCGACCTCACGGGTCTCTTGGCCTACTGCACAAAGCAGGACCGCATCAACCCAACCACAATATTTCGACATATGCAAATAACAAACAAACACATGTAATCATAACAGGTTTACCAATCTAACAGATCACTACAACATACCTACATTATTAACATACAAATGATATATACTAAAGTACAAAGTATAGTGAGAAAACTCACCTCACATACGAAGGTATAAATCCTACAACTCATCGCATGCAATAAACCGATATCAGACCCACCTAGAAAAATAAGGGTAAATTCTCAATCTAAGTCCTGAACCCTAAAGTTTGATTTCAAGTTAAACTTGGTCAAAAAGTCAATGGTTAAAAGTCAACAGTCGGGTCACCACGTCGTGGCCAACACAATGGCTACGTCTTGGTGGCTAAATGCCAAAACAACCGCAAACTCCCTCTCCTCCACGTCGTGGCATGGATAAAGTTTCCAACTTTATCCCTTCTATAACCATTACAAGCCTAGATCTAATACTCTAACTCAAAAAGGGACCACATAACCTAGAAAACTCATGCATGGTTGATTTATGATCAAGATACAAACTTTATGGGACCATAAGGTCCAAGAACTAGCATAAATCTTATCCAAGGTCTTGGAGTAAATTCAAACTCCAAGGATTCATTTCCAAAAGCCAAAAAGGAACTTAATGTAAGGTCGAACCTCAAACCTTAGAACCTGATGAAGTAAAACTGGGTCACGTTGACTTCCATCATCAACAATGTCTCACCAACGCAAGTGTGAAGACTTAATCTGCGAAGCCAGCGTCAGCGTGATGATGTTTTGTATATATAGGTATACGCGTAGTTATTTAGCAGATTCGATATCTTAGGGATATCGGATATATCTTGTATTTATATAGATTAGGTGACATCCCTGATTTATAGGGATTCACATCTCTTAGCTTTTACTATAAATCCTGTATTAAGGGTTTGTGTCATTTTTTGATTCACAAACCCTAGCTTTGTACTTGTTCTCATAGTGAGAACTTTCTTAGTGAAAAACATTTGTGATAAACCATTGTTCTTTGTCTTTTCTATTAATCGATCTTGATCAGGGATCTCACAACTGGTATCAGAGCAGGTCATTGATATGTATTAGCAATGTCTTCTTCTTCATCCAATCACTCTAAAACCACTTCAAGTCACAAAATTCCATAGTTTGATGAAAAGAACTTCACCATTTGGAAGTCAAAAGCAATTATGGTCCTCGAAACCATGGACTATTTCATGTTGGATATCGTCAAGCATGGTCCTCGTGTTCCTATGTATCATCCCATGAAGGATAATGTTAAAGATGGTGATGAGATCGAAAAACCTGCACATGAGTTTACTGAAGACGATAAGCGTCTTGTTGCCCTGTATGTCAAAGCTCGTGCCTTCGTAGGAAATGCTCTTCCCTATGACATCTATCATTTTGTTCAAAATTGTAGATCTACCAAGGAGATGATGAATACACTGACGGTAGCCTATGAAGGAAGTGATGAACTTAAAGTTGTCAATAAGAATAGTCTAAATCGACGATACGAGCACTTTTTCCAACAGAATAATGAAACTCTTACTCAATTTCAATCGCTTTAATACATGCATTGTATCAATGTGAACAAAACTAGAAACTCCTTGGTTCTCAAGTTTCTTGACTCACTAAATGATCGTTGGGAACATCATGTTGATGTTCTAAAGAACAGTGAGAAGATTGCAACCATAGATCTGCCTTCATTATTTGGAAATCTTCGTAATCATGAAGAAACAAAGATTTTGCACAATGAAATTATGCGAGAAACTCACAGGGACAAATGTGTGGCCCTTTATTCAAGGAATTCAACCCCAAATAGTGACGACGACTTCTCTGATGAATATGAAGGTGAAGCCTTGATAGTCAAATGCTACATTAGTAAAAGCAACAAGAAACCTTCTTGACCCAAAATATTTCTATCAAAGTCTGACACATCAGCATCTAAGGGATATGACATTTGTAGGAAGATTGTTGCTGAGAAGAATGAAGGACCAAAGTGCTTCAATTGGGGAGGCACTGATCATTTTTCCAAGGATTGCATATCCAAGAAGGAGGACATGAATGAAGATTATGAAGTGAAGTATAAGAAACTGTTGGCCTTTCTGAAGAGGCAAAACTTTGATGTGAAAACTCTGGTAGCAGAAGTGAAAAATTGGGCGGATGATGAAGAATCATCCGATGAAGATAAAGGAAAAGATAAGTGTTTGATGGCTCGCACCTATGCATTTGTCGTTGATGACAGAGGAAGTGGATCAAGCTCATTTAAAGCTGATCTAGCTAAAGCTAATAAAGATTCAAAGATGCTGGACTGGGACTCATCATCTTTATATCAGGTAAATAAAATTGTCAACTATTTTGATAACGCAAAATGCATGATGTTTAATTACTTGTGTCTTCAACTTTCAAATGTTAATCAAGAAAAGTAATGACTTAGGATTGAAATTGAATCACTGACAAATAAATCAATAGACACTATGAAGATTCTTGCTTAAACAAACATTAATATCATGAATCTATCTCTTATAAATGTTGACCTTCACACAAAAAATAACAATGTTGAATTTCATGCAAATAAACTACAAGGTATAGTTAATAATTAGGCACACCCTCATCATAAGCTAAACAAAAATAATTGATACCCAGATACCTGATCAATGTGAGAAAAATTCTTGGTGGAAATGTAGACGAGGTCGTAGGAGTTTATAAAAAAGTTGAAACTGAACCTAACTTTTCTACTCATAGTGATCTTTAAGATGACTTTAAATCTAGGTTTTGTTAGTAATATGTACATAAATCACACTCTCATAAGTAAACACTACATAACAAATTCTGATGGTATCACTGTATGTAATACCCACCTAACTACCTTAGATCCTACTATTAGAAATCCTTCTTTTGATATTCTAAGTCCAACCACTAACATGTATCTTAAATTTCCTATATCCAATCGTCAATTCCACTCCACAAATGATATACTCAGTGCATCTCCAAATTGTACTGTTAGCAAGTGTGCCACTGATGACTCAATTTCTTTTGACGCTGATTCTTCTAACACAGATGAATCTTCGTGTACACCAGCGTGTCAGTCTTCTATCTCCACATCCTGTCACACTGATAGATATTTTGTTTCTAAATCTATTTCAAAAGTTCATAAGATACATGAAAAAATTTAAACTCAATGGAAACCAAATTTTTTGAAAAATACCAACATGTGTAATAAAAATAAAGAGTATACTATAAAAGTTTGCTATCTTGTGGAGATACATCTCATAAAATTAGTGACTATACATTTGGAGAAAACACTAAAAGAATTGACAATATTTCCATAAGAAATGATAAATGGATTAAAAAGAATAACTCCTTAAATTGTCTCCACGTTGCTTGTTATAATATTTTTGATGTTAAATCCTTAGTGAAAAGACCCATTGAAAAAATGGGTCAGTGTGTTCTAATTTGTTTTCTTAGTGCTGCAGGGTCAGAATTATGTTTGGTATCTTGATAGTGGGTGCTCCAGGCATATGACAACGTTTAAGTCTCTCTTAGATAGTTTTGTTAAAAAGGATGGCCCTTGTAAGTTGTAACATCAAAAAAATTCATATAAAAATGTTGTTTTTTAAATGATTCTCAAACATTCAATAATTATTTCAAATCAACCAAAATGTATCATAGTGAAAATATCATCAGAGTACAAAATCCTAAAATCACATAATGCAGAAAACATGGGCGGATGCAGTGCGATCATGCCAAGACCTTCCCTTTTGAGCTGGAAGTACCTGAAACATAAACTGAAAAATGTAAACACAAATCTTACTGAGGTCCCCAAAATACTCTATACCATAAATACATAATAGTCAAAACATAATTGGGTCTATTTCACCCCTTCGGTCTCTTTCAACTGGTATTGGGTCTAATTCACCCCCCTTCGGTCTCTTTCAACCGGTATTGGGTCAATTTCACCCCCTTCGGTCTCTTTCAA